GGACCTTGGAAGACCTTGAGTCCCGTGTGACAGCACTAGAGCAGCGAAACCAAGAGTTGCAGGTTGAGCTACTCAGCCTCAAACAGTCCCAACTGTCTGCCCCCCGCCCTCCTAACCCTCGACCTGCTGCAGTCCCAATCTCTCAATCTAGCACAGTCCTCGTGGCAAGAGCAAGTGGAACTGTGACGAGCACAGGAACCGGTGCCAGCTCCTCGAGCGGCAGCGCCGGCAGCTCTGCACTAGTCATTGTCCCAAATGCAGGGACATCAGCCCAAAACGCCACAGTCCTTACTGGTGTTCAGTACAGCGGTCCCATAGTGGACAAGGGGGCGGCCACCTTGCCGTCCAAGTACGACGAAGAAAGCGGATATCACCTCTTGGATTAGTTCCATGTGGTCATACTTCGAGGTCATGCGGACACCGCAGGAAGACCGAAGCATGATCATGGGCACTAATACTGAGCCCGCCGTACGAAATCACATTGAACTCCAAGTTGTTGCTGCAGGTTATGAAAGAATTGACCTGACTGAGTGGCTGAAGGTAACCCTTGTACGCGCCCTCGAGGACCTTCTCATCACACGGTACCAGGATAAGCATGCTGTGCTAAAGGCTAGGCTGAAGCTTGAGGCCCTCAAGGGCCAAACATGGAGATCCTCCATGCAGGCTTTGGAACAACACTTTACTGGTCTGTTCACCACTCCAGATCTGGGAATGACTGACGTGTCTTGTATGGATGTAGTCATGGGAGTGGCCCCTAAAGAATACCTCTCCCTGTTAGCACTCAAAGACCATACCTCCTGGCGAGAGCTCATGACAGATCTAGTCAACCTAGAGGCCAAGGACCTCGCCAGGCGAAAGAAGGCGCCCGCTGCTGGTGGAAAACCACAACGCAAGCGGTATGGAAGCAGCAACCAGCTTGCCCTGCATGAACATCGGGAGGCTGAAGATCAGTCCTATGCGGATGATCTGTCTCTAGATGACGATCTAGAGCCGGACTCCGATATGGGCTGTTCCACATCAGGCATTGAGTCTGACGTGAACGAAGACGAAAAACTTAATGCGTTTAAAAAAACTGCTTCAAACAAGGGGCCAAACCGTGGTTCGGGTAAGGGAATTGTTGTCCACCTCCCCAAGAACACGAAGATCCCTGAGAAACCGAAGGATGCATCTACCAAGCCTTGGGAAGCCCTCCGCATCAGTCAAAAAGAATGGGAAAGAAGATCTAAACTGCGCATATGCTTGCATTGTCAAAAGCCTGGGCATGCTGTGCAAGACTGTTATATGCTTCAGGGAAACAAGCAAAGGGCGTAGAGGAGTCATCAACACTCTCTACAACAAGGGAAGCTGGAACGTCAGTTGCAGGCCCCTCCGATGAGCCTGAATTTGATCAACACCCTACTTTTGAAGCCCGGAACAACGCTGAATCCAAGGTTGTTGCAATTCATGTGCTATATGCTGAGCCTTGGGAGGAGTCTAAGGAAGTTGACTTCCATGCTCACCTGGAACATTGGCTGCAGCTCAAGCAACAACGCCGTGTTCAAGGGAGTGTGGAGCTAACCTTCTTTAAACTGCTCATTAACCGTCGATACATCCGCGTGCTGATTGATAGTGGTTCAACCACTAATTTATTTTCTCCTAACGGGATTCGTAAAGCGGGTCTGGGAATGAAGCGAGTGGAACTGCAGAACCCTTGTCAGACCCAAGTGGGCAACCAAGAGGTTGTCACCTCCACACATGCCGTCAAAGGTGTGAGCGTCACCTTTAACAAGGACCGCACTGTCACACATGAGCTTAACTTTTATGTCATGGACAAGTGCTCGTTCGACGTGGTCATTGGCTTGGGCTGGTTAAAGGCTCATTGCCTAAGGACCACGTGGGCGGACAATCAGTTCGTGGTGCGTGATGCCAAGGGGAACGAGCATACCGTCTTATTGGATGAGACGCGCGAGTCCCCTGTGACTCTTCTAAGTGCAAACAAATTCTGCAAATCAGTGCGCCGACGCAAGGAGGTTGAGCATGTACATATAGCCTTTGTAAAGCCTCTCCATGTGCCTTCTACTTTTGCTGCATTTTCTACCTCGGTAAGTAACTCTACTTCTACCACCTCTACTTCTAATCCATCTACTTCTACTGTGAATAATCCCTCTACTTCTGATCCAAATACCGCAAATCCGGTTGTAATTGCTGTAAATTCTCAAACTGATTTTCTTTCTCCTGACGAGGACGATCCTCCACCGGAAGTCCCAACAAACATTCGCCAGCTACTAGATCGATTTCCTGAAGTTTTGGCCGAACCTCGTGGAGTTCCCGAGTGTCCGGTCAAACACAAGATCGAGATAATAGAAGGGAGTGTTCCTCCAAAGGGCTGCGTCTACCGTATGGGACAAGGCGAGTTGGAGGAGTTGAGGAGGCAGATTGATGACATGATCGATCGTGGATGGATTAGGCCTAGTGAGTCTGAGTTCGGTGCACCTGTCCTGTTTGTGCTGAAGAAAGAAGGCAAACTCCGGATGTGCATTGACTATCGTGGCCTAAACCGGATCACCCGAAAGAACACGTATCCCTTGCCTCGTATAGATGATTTGCTAGATGCTGCAGGTGGGTGCAAGGTCTTCTCCAAGATCGACCTCAAATCTAGCTACCACCAGATTGAAGTTGATCCGAGTGACCAACACAAGACTGCATTCAAGATACGCGATGGGCTGTACGAATTCATCGTTATGCCCTTCGGTCTTACGAATGCACCAGCCACGTTTCAGAGCCCCATGGACAAGGTACTCCGCCATCAGCTCAATAGGTTTGTGGTCGTGTACCTTGATGATATTCTGATTTTCAGCAAGTTCATGGAAGAGCACCTCAAGCACCTTGAGGAGGTCTTGCAGGTCCTCAAGGAGGCACAACTGCACGTCAACTTAGAGAAATCTGAGTTCGAAAGGGACAACGTCATCTATCTTGGACACCGGTTGTCTGCAAATGGCCTTGAGCCGGAGGCAACCAAGGTGGAGGTCATACGAAATTGGCCTCAACCAGCAAACGTACGCGAACTGCGTTCTTTTCTTGGTTTGGCTTCGTACTACCGGAAGTTTGTGCCAAAATTTTATGTCATTGCTCACCCACACTCAAGACTAACCAGTAAGAATGTTGTCTATGCGTGGTGTGAGAAGTGTGAGACTGTGTTCCAAGCCTTAAAAGAGGCATTGGTGAGTCATCCTGTGCTCCGCATTGCGGATCCCAACCTCACGTTCGTAGTCACTACGGACGCGAGCCAGTTTGGGATTGGTGCAGTGCTGCAACAAGATGATGGTGATGGCCTCTGTCCGCTCGAGTATTACAGCAAACGCATGCCCAGCCACAAGGTAGCTACTTCCACATACATGCGTGAGCTCTACGCCTTGCGCGAGGCGCTCACACATTGGAAGCACTACCTCTTGGGTCGCCACTTCAAGGTCTACTCAGATCATCAGACCTTGCAGTGGATTAAGACACAAACTGATCTCTCTCCTATGCTGACCTGCTGGTTGCATGACATTGATGTGTACAATTTTGAATTGAAACATAAGAATGGTGGTTATAATCGCGTTGCTGATGCTTTGTCGCGTCACTCTGAGTTTTTGACTTGCCTTGTGGGTTCGTATGACCTCCAAAGGAAACTGAAGGAGGATCTGGTCGAACACACCGCCAAGGATCCGGACCTTAGTCCCATCCTTGAGCAGCTCAAGGCTGACCCTAACAGTCAACCCGATTTTCATGAGTGTGAGGGTCTTGTATTCCGCCGGTATGGGAAGTTTGATCGTTTGTGTGTACCCAACCATGCGCCTCTCCGGACTCATTTCTTGGATTTGGCACATGGTCGGAGAGGACACTTCGGCTTTGAGAAGACTTATGGAAGCCTTCTGCAGCAGTTTGATTGGCCAGGAATGAAAGGATCCGCTCAGAAATTTATTGTTGAATGTCAGGTATGCCAAAGAACCAAAGTCCACAGGCATAAGCCTTATGGTCTGCTGAGACCCCTCCCCATTCCGGATGGACCCGGTGAGTCGATTTCCATCGACTTCACAGACATGGGAAAGGTGAGTGAGGCTGGAAATTCACAAGTCCTGGTCATCGTGGACCGTATTTCCAAATTTCTAAACTTGATTCCTTTCCCTCCCCATGCCCCGACTGAACTTGTCATTGAAGAATTCCATCAGCAGTACATTCTGCAGTTTGGCGTCCCGAAAACTATTGTGAGTGATCGGGACACCTGATTCATTAGCAAAGATTGGAAGGACTTCACCTCTCAGATCTATGACATTAAACTGAACAAGACTTCTAGTCGACACCCCGAAGCCAATGGGCTGGCTAAGGAGATCAACCAGACTGTCATCCAGCTACTTCGCGCATTGATTGTTCCAGATCAGAACACGTGGGACAAGGAGTTGCACAAAGTGAAGGGGTTGTACAATAACTCCATTCACTCTGCAACTGGTGTGACACCAAACCAGTTGCAATATGGATGGTCGATGTGTAATCCCCTCTCCTATCTGTTCCCCGGACGGTCACCTGGTCTGATGTCCAGCATGCCTGGCTACAATGCCAAGTACGCAGGCTTGCTCAAAGCTGTTATTGCAGCCATGAACAAGCGCCAACATGCCATGATCAAACATGCTAACAAGTTGCGCAAAGAAGAAAAATTCAAAGTAGGGGATTATGTTTGGGTTAAAATGTCTGAGTTTTCTGATGAAGAGGGCATATCACGAAAACTCCTTCCATTGTACTATGGCCCTTGGCAGATTCTGAAGGTGATTAGGGATGATTTTGGTCCTTCATATGTGATTGACGCGCCTCCTCATCTGCGCACGTATCCGGTCTTTCATGCGTCCAAACTGTTTCCACATATTGATGATGAGACGTTTCCCTTCCGAGACCCTATGATACCTCGCCCTATCGACGGCAGCCATGAGATAGACAGAATCGTTTCTCACGAGGGAAGAGGGAGGAACAGACAGTACAAGGTTCACTTCCTCGATCACCCGTTGACTGAATTCTTCTGGATCGACCGAAAAGAGCTGCTAAAGAGTGCTCCCCGTGTTGTGGACGCTTATGAACGACAGATCGTTGAGGGACAAACTGCTAAATTTGTTGCAAAAATGACTCCTCACGGACTTACTAAGTCTCTCTTTCTGATTTACTCCTACGATGCATTTTGTGCCAACTCTGAATGGGTTACTCGCTCGAAGGGACCTCGCTCT